ATGAGTTTTTTTGCTATGATACCTAAACTGTTTTAATTTAAGTGGAGTACTAGAGTGACATCAAGCTCTTATCAATTTACAGTTGAGCTGGCTAGATGTAACCATAAATTCTATGCCAACACTTTCTTTTCTCACACTTCTCACTTGTGGAACTCCCTTCTGGTTCCATGCTTTCCAGCCAACTTTAATATACAAAAATTTAAATGCAATGTCAATCGCTAATTCTATCCTCCAATTACTCTTTTTCTTCCTGCTTATTAATGTTTTTGTTCCTAATTATTCCACAACCTGTAACCCCTTGTGTCTTAGTAGCTTTATTGCCTTGCATGAGATGATATCAATTAAAAGAAAACATATATATCTTATAATATAGGTTGACTCTTTTAAAAAATCTCATTTTAAATATGGAAAACTAGCTTTCAAAGAAAATTTAAACTCATTCAGTGAATAAACAAATATGATAAATTATAGTTTCCTATCTTTAAATATCTTTTTCAGTTTCCTGTATTTTTTCTTGAATTCTTCTCTCTTATCTTTTTTCCTTTTCTATTAACTCTTGCATACTTACTCCTCATCTTGTACTTTTTGACATCATGTCATCTTAGACACAATAGGTTCAAATCAATGTGGTACTGAATTTGCTTTTTTGAATGGTCCCAAAATAAATTGTTTTTATTGACGATCATAATATTAACATATGTACACTATAGGCCAAAAGTTTGAGGAATACTTCTAATTAGTAAGCTTCATACTTCCTTTGGTTTAATTAACTCATAAGCTAGGATATTGAAGTTATTTAAACCTTCACTGCATGGCATCCATATTTTTTTTTTTTTTCAGAGAGGGATTGCCCACAATTTAAAATCTGCCAGCCCTAACGTTACTATCAGCTAGCAATGTAGATTAGACAAAAAGATGAAAAAATTTAAGGAAACTTTATGTAATGGGAGGCATGGTGGTGTAATGGATAGCAGCTCAGATTGAGAAATCGGAAAACCGAGTTCAAATTCCAGTCAAATCCATTACATTCACTTACATGCAAATACCCTTGGTAAAGGTATGGCTCCTCTTCTCCCCCCACAAGCTAAGGGTAAATAGCAGGACAGACCAGGTTCTATAGCCTTGGATGGCAACTGGTCTACTGCAGAAAGAAATGGCAACCTACTACGGGAAAAAATTTGCCTTGTCAGTCATGTATCAAAAGATACATGATCACCTAAGCATGTATTACGCATGGAACAAAACTGACTGACTTATTTATAAGAGTCAGTTACCCTCCTTACTATCAGGAATGGACTGATCCATTCATGATAAGTAGTCCTGGATAATTGTCTAGGAGTAAAGAAGAAAATACTATTACAGTGACTTGTCTAGCTGAGTACTGAATAATACTATCATGACTCATTCTGTCGAGTTAAGTGTTGTGTCTTGCCAGACCCCCACATGACAACAAGTAGTAATGAGTTAATTTCATTACTATTATTGAATACATGATAAAACCCTTCCTCTGGCCCAAAATGAGCTTGTAAATTAGTTTTGTAAAATGTACACAACCTTCCATTTTTTTAGGCAATTCTTCAAAATACAGGGGTGACCCCAAACTTTTGGTCTGTAATGTAAGTTCTGTATAATTCCCTATAGAATTACAGTCTCTCCACATTATGTTTTGTTTCTTAACATTATTGGAAATGAAACCAGTTACAGATTATAATATCATGAATCTGTCTGTATCAGATTCAGTAGAATGTATTTTGATTGTATATATGATTAAAAAAAAAACATTACACTGATTAAGAATGTGGATTACATTATCAGTTTTCCACTATTCTATAAATTATCAGATTCATACCACCAGAAATGACTGGAATTGAGGAACTCAACCAATCAATGTTGACATTGATTGATTCTTATCCTCCTCTTGAGTATTTCTTCTCTCCCTCACTCGCCCTTCTCTTTTTAAATGTCCAACATCTTTTGTGTGCAAAATTTTATATACCAGGGTTCACTGATATTGTTGCTGAAAGAATGGCTTTAAAGTTTTTCAGTTTCAAATCACATTATGAACCATGTTTCTCCTTTAGTTACATTTTATTATTATCTTTGTGGGAATTATGTGGAATATATTACCCCTGAATTTGACATTTGTAGAATTTTTTTAGGTTCCTATATTCCTTTTATGATTAGTATTGGCAGCAAATGAAATTTAAAAAAAAATGCTATCAAATTTTCTGACAAATAAAAACAACTAAGACTGCTCTTCCTAAATATGATTCATTTAGAATTGGTTTAATACCAATATTTTTAATCTATTCTGAAAATTTCATCAAATCTCATGTTGAAACAGTCTTTCAACAGAAGGCAAAAAAAGTACCAATGAGCATTTCTTTTTAATGGTAACATTTATAATCCTGTTGGTATTATTTATTAAAACTCGCTTTCCTGATTGACTTAATTGATTAAATCTACCTTTAGGTTTGATAAAAATCACATTGTAAATGTTTTATTGATATATATATATATATATATATATATATATATATATATATATATATATATAGAGAGAGACAGACAGACAAAGTGGAAAAGCTTTTTAATGACAGCTTACAACCACAGCATATAACACTGGTTCCTATGCAATTACTGAAAATAGGCCTGAACAGTACCTAGATGATGACCATTTGGAAACACCAGGTGCTGTAAGCTTAGATGTGTGGGTAGTGTAATGCATAATGGCTGAGAATTGATAATTGGAGTACCGAGTTCCAGTTCCAGTTGGGTTCATTTTATTCACTTGTGCGCAAATAGCCTTGAGAAAGGTATGAATCCACCTCTTCTCCGCCAGGTATGGATTCATTATGAAGACTTGTATCACTAAACCATTATTATCTCCCCAAAAAATCAAATAAAATTGCATACAAAATATTTAGATTTCAGCATTAAATAATCTATAGAGGTTGATATGCTGTTAAACAAAAACAACCAACCAATTTTTAATAACACATTCCGGTTTCATGTGTTAGGGTGGCATCTTCATGTCAGAATGAAAGACAAAACAAACTGTTCAAATTTTATATCCTACTAACACCCATATATATATATATATATATATATAATTTGCTATATTTTATAAGGGAAGAGTGATCAGTATAAGACAAATGCATTCATACATACTGACAATGTGAACATAAGAATCAATACTGCATCATGATTGTCAATCTTCAGATCATGTGTCACTACTCCTTCAATGGTCTACCTATATAGGTCGCTGGAGGATTATAGGATGTGGAGACCAACCCTTCCAAGTTTCTTTTGTTTTAGGTTATTTCTTATGGTTATTTACAGTCATGACCTTTAGATTATTCATTCATGCAGATCAACATTCATTTTGAGGGAGTTATATATATATATATACACTCATGCATTAATGGGACAAGTTGAATCATCTTGATGGCAACTATGTAGAAAAGGTGTATGATCATACGATAACATATATGTACATTTTTAACTTGATAATTATAACATGATTTGTAAATATTTGTACCTTAATTTTGATATCTCTCGTATAAAGACTTTAATCTAATTTCATATTGTACTACAAAATTTTGACTGTTCTGGGTATGACAATAAACTACGTCCAGCAGCAAAGCATTTAATTGGGAGGTTTTGAGGAGCATGGAACCACCTCTTAATTGCTATTCTTCCCAGGTCCACCATAACTTGGAGTGGTAGCACTTTTAGGGTTCCAACTATGTGCAAATATTTAACCCACAAACTGGGGTCAAAACACTATGAAAGTATAAAAATAGACTTTTATAGTAAAAATACCAGCAATACATTTTTAGACATAAAAAAATATGATCAGCAATACATTTGACTCTCAATAAAAACCCTCTTTACAAAAATACCTCAATGAGACTATATCTACAAACTGATTTCTTACAAAGAATGCATATTCTATTCATAGGAAGTTTGGTTTGTTACAAAACTGCAACATATAGACATATAAACCCCAGGTTAAAAAAAAAAAGATAGGTGTGTCTGCTCAGATAGGAACACATAAACAGGTACCAATGAATAACAAACACAAGATGAATATTTGTAAATGGTTTTATATAACAACCAACAAGAGAATATGAAAAAGATTATTGGATGATAGGTGTAAAATCAATAAAAGACACTTACTCGGTGTTCAAGCATTTGTGTTTCATAAATTTATAAGTTCAAATGTTCATAATGGCAAATAGACAGACTTACTATAAAATGTCTGCATAAAAATCAGTACTTCTTCATTCTGAATATAAGATACAAGAATAGTGCTTGTATTTCATTTTCCCTCTTGTAATTGGATTGCATTAGGATGATTTCTTTGGGTATAATATTCGTTTATTCTCTACACATCAAGTAGTCAAATAAATCTATGGGCTTTGGGAATAATATCCTTTTCATTCAGTCCACATCAAGTAGTTGAATAAATCCAGGATCCTCAGATTGATCTTTCCTTATTCAAGAAGTAATGGAATAAGTTCATAGGTGCATCTCTCATGATCGCATGATGAGAGTCGATTTTCTCTCGATCTTTTGCAGCCAGAGATTATCAGGAAAATGAAATTACAATACCAAAAATCCCACGTGGTGATGTATGTCACATGAGTTTGGGTGACCGACTTTTACTTACTTTCTTAGGAGGTCAATTTGTCTGTTGTCAAGTAACTCAAATTCTTTCCCGCCATTTTTTAGTCAAGTTAAGACTCAGTCGAGACAGAAAATAAAAATGAAAGAAGAAAGAAAGAGGAAACACAAAGAAAGCATGTTGCTTAATAAATTGATCATACATCTGATTTAACATTCAACATTGAGGGCCATGTCACAGGTTCTATGCCAAACAGTGTTACCTACATATCCTCTTGGTATCAGTTTAAACTGACACCTTTTTCCCCATATATCATGACCATTTCACTTAAAGTTATTATTTTCTTGTTTTCTTTTATGGCTTATATCACGTTAAAGCATTGGTTCTCATCTGATCACTGTTGTTAAGCATAGTTGAGCCTGATCAGTACTTAGATGGATGACCACTTGGAAATACCAGGTTCTGTAAGCTTGGATGTGCAAATGATATAATGATTCGGAATTAATAATCGAAGAGCCAAGTTCCATTTCCACTTGAATTTGTTATACTTACTTGGATGCAAATACCCTTGGGAAAGGTATGAATCAACTTTTTACCCTCCCTCCCAGCTATGGATTAATTAGTAGGACTTTTATTAATAAAATCATTAATTTAAATTAGGGTTACAGGTTCAATTCCTGTCAGCACATATATTCAGGCTAGTAAATGTAACTAATACTGTTTAATTAGAAATTTGCTTAAATAAATTATATCTATAAAAATAATGTACAAACAGAAAATATATTAAATAATTGTTGGACTTAATCCATTTCATAATATGTTGTCATTGTTTATGTTAAGATATGTTTCATGAACAGAAATGATCGATCAAGAAAAATCGTTGAAAGTGTGTGTTTATAAATGTTTTTGCTAACCAGACACTTCTTTGTGGCTGAATGGTTAACAGCACGTCAGATCAAATGATGGTTCCCATTAGGGTTACAGGTTTGATTCCTGTCAGAGAGTGCATATTTTCTACAAAATTTCTTGAACATTCATGCTGGTAAATGTAATTAATACTATTTAATTAAAAAACGAAGCATTTACTTAAATAAATTATATCTATAAAAATAACGTATAAACAGAAAATATATATATTTTGTTAATGTCATGTCTCTTCTGAATGCCCCTCCCTTGCTCTGTCCCTTAAAGACACAGGTGATCATGGCTCTCCACAGATTCCCTTTCTTTACTATCTGTGAATTGCTATGAATTCTTGGAAAAGATGGAGAGATTTTTTGTTCCCCTCCTCACAGTTTTAAATTTAGAGTAATTCTCCTCATAGGCTGGTTGCCATCCAAGGCTAGAGAGTCCAGTCTACATTGTGATTTAACCCATAGCTGGTGGGAGGAGAGTGGAATCCATGCCTTTCTCAAGGGTATTTATGCAAAAGTGAAGGCAGAATTTTAAACTTGTTTCATTGAGTTCACATTCTGTTAATAATCATTACACTACCTGCAATTCTCTAAGTTATAGTTAGATACATAGATATAGAAGAAAGGTAAATAGATGTATAGAACAAAGAAAGTGACACTTTAAATTGACACCAGGACCATATTAGTTACAGATTCATTCTATGAGCTTTTGTATTGGATTAATTCCTTTTTTAATCTTTTTTCTACAATATTTTATCCATGTACTTTACAGCTTTACTTGAATGTTGGTTGTGGTGTAGAATATTATTGTATCTTGTTTTGGGAGTAGATATACAATGCCTCTCATACATATCACATCTGGTTTCTGTGTGTGCATTATTAGAACTGTCTACCCTTGACCTCTCAACAATGACTTTATGACATTCTGTTGAGCTTTACAGATGATCTTATCTCCTAAACCTATACCTATGGAATTCCAAGTTCATTTTCTGCTTCTTGGTGATTAATGGCTCCCACAAGTTGCTAATGCTGATTTTCCATCTGCTGATTCAATTCCTTGAAACTTCTATCATTTTGATGTCATTCCATAAAGGTGTGTGTGTGTTTCTTGTCCCATCTTTCCTTATGGCTAGCCAAAACAGATTTTAAAATGTCTGCTTTCAATTTTCACCTAGTCTTACTTTCAGGGGGCAGCTGATCTTGTACTCTCGGCTTCAATTTTATAGAATATTACATGCACAATACTTAGCCACTTATCATTCCATTCATCATATGCATCATAATCCATTTGATAATCCTTGTCCCATTCATCATGTACCCCACATTCATCATAAGCATTTTAACAGGAATCCTCTACCATGAGTGGCTGTCAAATTTTGTAGTTGGGAAACATCAAACAAAATTCTGACAACATTAACTGAAATGTAGCAATTCTTTATCACCTAACTGAATTATATTTTGTTTTTGTTTTTTTGTGAATAAACTTTTAGTTTATAGCTAAATATGTAAATTTCCTTATCTCCAAAATAAATAATCACTGTTCATTAATGTTGATATCCAGTATCACCGAAAGTTTCCATTTGGTAATCCTTGTCCCATAAAGATGTCATTATGCCAGAAATAACCTACTTATATAATTCATTTCTTCATCTTTTGATTTTCCATCTTTCTCTCATTTTATTTCTGATAAAGAATCTGTTTTGATATTTCCTATTTATATTGTTATGGACTTCATGGTGCTATCAGTATAACAACGATTATATAATCATTAGTTGTTTTCATGTCAATTTTGGAATTGACTAAAGATGCCAAACAAAACAGAATTTAACCAAATCATTAATTTTGGACTTGTATCTTCTTCTATGTTGCTATCATCACAGCATTTCTGCTTCTGTGCCCCTCAGCCTACTTTAGTATCTATTGATCTACATAACATTCAGGAAATTTCAAACTAATACCTTTCTTTAATCTAGAGGGATAGATTGTTCTCATTCTGCTATCCACATCTTGAAATATCTCATTTTGATCTTTTTTTAGTATTGCTGTTATTCCAATGACTCTCAACTACAGTATCCTTATTGTTTATTTCACTCAAAGCTGTTTTCTGCTGCTATAGCAGGATATGACAACACTACTATGAAATTCAAACACAATATTGTTCAATGATCAGTCATCTTCAGTGGCAGGATAAGCTTTTTGTACAGCAAATCAAGTCACATACAGCATGATAAACGTTAAAGGCAGCTGGAAAGCAGAAGACCAAAACGTGATAACAAAGATGATGTTAGTGCAAATATAAATAATAGAAGTAATGATAACGCATCATCTCAGAAATTCAGATAGAAATTAACTAAAAAAATTTGACCCATTGACTTTTGAATGAATCAATTTCTATATTTCTGACCTAATAATAACAGTAACCAACTTTCTTTTTTTTTTCTTTCAGACTTGTTTTTCTTTTTTTTACAATTATAGACAGTCTCTATATCAGTGTTTCTCAATATTTTTTACTTCAGGACACATTTGTAAAATAACTTAAACTCTGTGGATACACTTTAAATATTAATAAGGAAAAATTAGATGTGAAATTTGAAAATATAAAATGTTGGTTTAACGTTCCCCAAAAAGAACACAGTGTTGGTCGATATTATAATGAACTGATTTCTGTTTTCTTGAAAGAAAACAATTTCATGTCCAATTGGCAATTTTTTCTTCTTATTCAATGCAAACTCAAATATCATTAACATGTTTCTTTCATTCTTCCATGATCTTCAATAGTTCTTCACTACTCTAATCAGTATTATGTCTTAGCCAAATCACATGTCTTTTAATCATTCTCCCTCTCTTCTCTCTTCAAGAATTGATTTACTAGTCAGGTTGTTTTTCAGTTGCTTTCACACTTGTATGTTCAATTCAGTACTAATGATTGTGACTCCTACTAGAAAATGCAGTATTCAGCTAACTACAATTGGTTGTTCCATGCCCTTGTTGTAGTTGACTGTGTTACTTATCATCTGTCATCAATCACTGCATATCAAACCAAAGAACTGGTCTGATGATGTTTACCTTTCAATGCAATTGGATAGCCTCAGCCCGTTTTAGGCTTTTATCACTGAGTGTGGCTCCTCTAGGTGACTTAGACTTTGTCTGTCTCCAACCAGTTGACCTCTCTGCCTATGTTGGACCTGCCATCAAGACAATCTACCATGATAAATTACAATTACTCAATGCAAAATAAGAAACCTCTTGACATAGCCAACTTTGAAAAAATATTAGTATTTGTTTTAGTATGCTTCAAATTAGATCTCTTTCTAATTCACTCTACATATTGAATGCTAAGAAAGCAAAAACAGAAATAAAAAAAAAAGTTGTCTTCTGTGCAGGAGTTCTGAGCATCACATCCAGCTCACAAACAAATCCCTCAACAAATATAAAAAACAATATAAAAGGAGCCAATCACAAATATTACCACCAAAGAAAAAACATGCAAAAAGATGAGTTCATGAGCCATCACATTTGCTTTTAAGAATGCTATTCATGATGACTGAAACAGAATCATGGCAAACTACCGATGCCACTGGAAAGATCTCAATGTCAACTGACCTGATATCAAAACCAGGCCCTACCAACTCTACCCTTCCTTCAAGTTGCTTTCCTTGCCCACAAAGAGACATTCCACTTACATCCTCTGTATTGGAAATACAAAGTACAAAGAGATGTCTGTAATTGATTTTTTGGATAATAACATTTACTGGCCTTGCTAACTGATCGATCCTCTGTGGCAAAATCGGTAAAAGCACATCAGGCTATATGACAGTTCCATATAGGATACAGGTTTAAATCCTGTTGGAGGACGAATATTTTCTCAGACATTCAGGCTGGTAAATGTTATTTAATACTGTTTATTATAAAGAGAGCATTTACTTAAATATTTGTATCTATAAAAAGAATGTTAAACTTAAAATGTCTTAAAATAATTGTCAGACTTTGTCCATTTCATAAAGAATTTTATATTAACAATTCTTGTCTTTACATTTCATCTCACTGCCAATACTGTTTGTTCTCTTATGCTACCATATGTGTATTTATAACAGTTTTAAAATGAAATCAAAGCACCAGTTTCATATCTGCATCTTGAAAACCAGGCAAAATTATATTCTTTCTACCAAAATAAGTTTTATTCTGCAAGCTCGCTTACCTGACACTAGGAATTTAACTCTTTACCTCTTGAGTTTCCACTTGACACAAAGCTTTCAGTTTGAATGCATTATGTGTAAAATGCTTAATTGTATTTTTATGGGGATCTAATGATCTGAAAGAGAAGTCTGTAATTGATTTTGGAGTGGTCATATTGTATAACTTAATGGAATTGAGTAGACTTAACTGAAATTGATAAACAAGTCTATTGAAAAAACATCTCTCTCCAGGTGTGACTTGATTAGTCATGATTATTTGTTAGAAAACTTGTGAAGATTAGAGATATGAAATTAATTAATTCAAAATACAAAAAATTTGGTTTGAATAGCATTGTGTAATATATATGTGTTACTTTCTT